CGGACAGGCAGACTTCGACATTATCGCAATTATGCCCCTGTCCATCTCCCTCTCCCTTTCTCTCATTTAAAGGTCGAACAACATTTAATGGTTCGGCCAACTGACCTATCTCTGGTGTATTCTAACTCAAACGAATTCCCATGAATATAATTATATATCTACACACACACACACACGCATATATATGTATATATATATATACATACACAAAATGAAATTTGCTCTATAACGGCACCCACACGCACAAGATTCTACTTGATTTTTTCTACAATAAATGGCAAGGGCTAACTGATATTCTTCATTTATAAGTAGGCTTGCTGAACTATCGGTAGATCATACATATGAGCTGTATTCATACTATTCCGTTTAGGAGGCTAGGAGACTGGTTGTTTAACTTTCCCACAGCCAGTTGAGTAGGCTCTATGCTTTCATCTAATTTCGCATAGCCTTGTTTGTCCACAAGGAATTCTCATCCCGACTGAAGTGGACTGCTGCCTTGCCCTACCAGAGGGACTCGAACCCGGATCGTGACAGTGCAGCGTATAATCTCGACACACTGTCCCGAGTGCCAATTGCTCACAGGACACATGTCAATATGATGCAACGTCAGGCATTTTCCCATATCACACTTTGTGTGGGCATTGTAAACGAAGCAAAGTTATATTTGCTATAACAGTCGACTACATTGTTTGTTTCTCATTTATGAGTAGGCTTTAAGGGCTGCTATTTGATCAGCTTCCAGCTGCTACAGCAACGCCGGCCAGTTGTAATTAAGACTATTATGCGAGAGACATCTTATGTGTGCATGTATTTGTGAGAAATGGAAAAGGAGAGGGAAAGATAGAGATAGAGAGAGAGAGGGAAATTAGCATTTTGCCGTAGGAAGCGAAGGGCAGTGTGTTGAGGACTGCTTCAGTGTCTTCGCTTCAGCATAGTTGGACCACAACAGATTCAAAAACATTCGTTGCCTGATCTTGTATGTTGTGGGGACTTTCATTTCATATACAAGTGCATGATACCAATTTGATGAGTCGAGGAGGCAGCTTTAAATACTCTTTTATTGCGTACTAGTATTGAAAGTAGCACCTACGAGTAGTCTTGACTGAACGTGAAGTTTACGTAAACTCGCTTGTCTCACCTGAAATGGTCTGTTAAAAGCAAAAGTGACACGAATTTGTATTTCAAGCGAAAGGTTAATTGAAGACAATTCGTCAATCAGTTTCCCTTCCTTAAACCGAAGGCGGCTTGCCGCAGGGTGGAGCAAAGACGAATGGAGGCTGAGAAGACGTCCTGCCGGCCAGACAAACCTATTCTAAACATTTGTCTTTTGCCAACTCGACCGACGTCGTCAGAGCACGAGACTTCATTTAACGAAAGAAGGCACCAGCTACAACACGCCAAGAAATAACTGTGGCCGGATAAAATGCCTGATTTCTTGGCCCCTTTAATTTGGTGCACCATTTCGTACAACTTGCTATCTCGTGCTCACAATGTCAGACAAAATGGTACAGATGAAAGCCAGACAGCCGGCCCGTCACTCTTGCTTCGGATTCCGTTGACCCCAATTGATGACCACCTACTTCCATACAAGTTTTCCTTCCAATTGGGAAGTCATGTCACTAACCACGTCTGATCTCTCCTCATTTAATTTTATTTCGGTCGCAGCCAACCGGGACTCCGACAATGTTCCACCATCTGGGCTCGACCTTGCCAGCTGGTTCCCGTCAAGAAATTTAGCCGAAATTGTGATCGACTCGTCTTAATATGCTGACAAGCAGCGTCCTTACTTAATTGTAGATATAAAATCCAAGAGGCTGTGGCCTCGGTGTTGGTCGCAATCTCTTTTCACGGGATGCAAGTGGTTTGACCTCGTTTTCATAACTTGCTCGTGAATAATCCTTGTCCGAAGTCTTCTGCTATGGTTGTTATTGTTATTTTCAGCCGAGGGAATGTACCAAATCCACGGTTCAGTCATGGGAATTAGCATGGCTAGTATAGCGACAGACTTCAGACAAGTGGCGGTCGCCTGGGTGGCCGTGAAAAAAACGGACAGGTTGCCAAAACGGGGTCAAACCGCGTCTAAACAAATCAATTAATTTTTGGTACTACCAGTCCTGGCTACTATCAGTAATCATTGAACAAGAAGTTAGTCAAACTAGGTGGCCTAACGTGGTTTGAGGACAAATAATTTCTTTTTCCCACACAATCATATGAGTAGGCCTCGCTTTTGCACTTAATTTAGCATGTTTTCGTATTGGAGTAGAGTTTCGAGACTACCAGTAAATCAGTAGTATGAGATGTATTCACGCAATTTAATGTAAGCTGATGAAGGACTGGTAGTAGAATTTTCCCACAATGATACAATTTGAGCTGACGTTCCCATTCAATTTTACACAGCCTTGCTTTCCCAAAAGCATTTCTCATCCAAGCACCAGTGGACTGCAGTTTCCACCTCGCATCGGTCTTATCAACAGCCCCAGCGGGAGTCGAACCGTGGCAGTACAGAATGGGAGCTTGATGCGTTAACCACTCGGCCACATTGCCTTCATTGAAATTCACAATTGCCCAGTGGTTCGCGTGTCAAGCTCCCATCCTGCACTGCCGCGGTTCGAGTCCCGCTGAGGGTGTTGACAAGAACGATGCGAGGTCTAAACTGCAGTCCACTGGTCCCTGCATGAGAGCAAATTTTAGGAAAGCAAGGCAATACGAAATCGAATGGAAACGTCAGCTTAACTCGGATCATTGTGGCAAAATTCTACTACCAGTCCTTCATCAGCTCAGACGAAATGGGGTGAATACATCTCGCATTAATTTAACATGGCCTTGCTTCTCAAATGGTATTATCGTCCCTACAGGAATGGAATGCAGTTTCAACCTCGCCTGGACCGGTCTCGTCGGCACCCCGGCCGGACTCGAACGCAGGCTGTAGATATTCAACGAATATCCTCGACACATTTCCACGAATGCTCTTGGATCAAAGGACAGAAATGAATTTAAACGAAGCTTAGAGCAATTCGATACTACATTGTTGTGGTGTGATTGTCGAGTATGCAAAAGTGTATTTGCTATAGCAATCGACAATTTCATCTAATTGTAGGAAAATCCAATTACTAGGCCTTAATTAACTTGAATGAATGAAATAATATATTTGACTTACTATTAGTCTCGAAAACACGCTTGTAAATGAAAAATTACCAAGTTCTTATTCAAGAATTATTGATAATATCGGAACCTACTTATGTCGGAAATAAGTAGAGACGTCGATTGAAATGGATAACACATTTAGGTTAATCGACAATACTATAAAGCAATGTGTATTGGGCAAAGTTTGGCTTGTCTTGACTGTTACATCTACCCCGTGACCCACTGACCCCTGTGGTGTGTAGGGGAATGGAATGGAATCATTACATCACAAACATACCCATGACCCGAGCTCAAATCCGACTGCGGGGTTCTGATGAGTCCACTTCAAGCAATGAAATAATCTTGAGTAAAGCAAGGCAACATTAAATTCAAAGGCATCTTGAAGCCAGCTCATTTGATTGTGTGGAAAAATGCAACTTTTTTCCATTACATCTTCAAAAACAGACTAGGCTGACTATATTCTTATTCAAGAATAACTGACAGTCTTGAAGCCAACTTGTATCAAAAATGGCAGCTCATCTTGGCTCGATGAGATCGGTTTTCGCTCATTTGATATGACACGATTTTAGGCAACGTGGCACAGACAAATTGACTGGCAGTAGCCAGTCCTGCCTCACAGACAGTCTGAGTCGACTAGCAACACATTCAAGACATGTACCTACATGATGTCAACGGTCTTTGATACTTCGAATGTGGCCTTGGCGCCAATTTAACCAGGAATGCGGAGTATCACGAAGGATTGTTTAGTCAGAAACCCATTCGTGGAGTTAATGCTCACCGAACTAAATTGATTCAGCAACAAATTTGGAGAAAAAATGTGCATATGAGGTGCATTTTCTCTATTTCCTTCAAGGCGATAAAGGACTGGCAGCTGACTTTTCCCACAATCAGCTGACAACGCTTCATGTTTCCATTGCATTTCACATAGCCTACTTTCCCAAAAGGTTTTATCATCCCAACTGAACTGGACTGGACTGCTGCCTCGACCTCGCCTGAGCTAGTCTTGTTGGGCTTACTTTCATTTCGAGTGGAAGTGTTGGGTGAAGAGATTCGAAGGTCGGTTCCACCAGAAGACGATGCCACATTCCTCTTGACCAGCTGTCGATTGGCTTTATTGGAACATTCATGCTGACGCTGTTTCCGAGACGATCTCCTTCGAAACCGCTATATGACGAACATCATCAGAGCAAGGTATCATCGTCACAACAAAATTTAAGATCTGATGATGTTTGTCTTATGACGGACTAAAGCTTAGCACCTTTTCATCGGAATCGAAAGAGACTACCTCGGAAACTGCGTCAGCATGAATCTTCCAGTTAAGCCAATCGACAGCTGATCAAGAGGAATCCGCCGTCGTCTTTTGGTAGAACCGACCTTCGAATCTCTTC